TTATGAGAGTTGACAGCCTCATCTTCCTCCCGGGGCCCCGGTACCTGCTGGGTTTGCACCGCAGACCTTTGGTTAGCAGCTCTGCACTTTCAATTACTGTATCACCCATAATCGAAGCCTCAATCAAATCCAACATATGCATGGATTTTGAAAAACAAAACAAAAAATCCTTTAATAGCCCAGGTTTCAAAGATTCCACAACCAAAAAGAATACTTATAGTTCAAAAGCTTAAAAAAAATTTTTTTTAAAGCCTAACATCTTACTTAACATGAGTTGATCTTCCTAAAACCCAAACTAAACTCATTGCCATGAAGTCAATTCTGACTCAGAGACCCCATAGGACAGAGGAGAACTGCTTCTCAGGATTTCTGAGACAGTAAATCTTTACAGAAGCAGACAACCTCATCTTTCTACCTCAGAGCAGCTGGTGGGTTTGAACCACTGACCTTGAGGTTAGCAGCCAAGCACTTAAGCCACTGTACCACCAGGGCTCTTTTGATCCAAGCTCAAAAAAGTCCAAACTCACAGCCACCCTGTATGGAGGGGTCTTCAAGGCTGTAAATCTCTACTTGAGAAGAACTAGGGGTAACTCCCATAGGTGCACAGAGATGAATCCTCATTCTGCTTTGGTAATTGCTCCACTGGAAACCCAGCATGGGTCTGAACTGGAGGGGGTCCTACCACCCCAACTTCACAGTCTAACAAAAGGCAGGAAGCCTAAGCTCTTGCTGCAGCTTCCTCACTACCTTGGAACATAACCTTGAGGACAGAACCTTCCTTTGCTGGTGAACTCGCCTGCAAAATGCAGAGATGGGGGACTAGTGGTTTCGCTCAGCTCTCTGCAGTCTCAACACTGTAACAGTTGCACAATACAAATCGCCACTTGAAGTAACTTCAAAAGAACTAGACATTAGAACTAACCAAAAGGCAATTTCAGGCAGTTGAGTAGTTTGTGTGAACAGAAATGACTTAAGCTGAGTTCACTGCTGGAATCAGTTCCAATCCGTTAGAAACAGAAATGTGAATGAATTAGACTGAACAGACAGTTTCTCTAACATCAGTAAAGGAGAAGACTCACTCTGAAGAGAGAGGTACCCGACATCTTTAAACTCCTGTGTGATCCTCCTCCTGCTCCCACCCTCTGCCCTCGCCACACCTAAATCCATTAAGGAGGTTCCACAAGGAACTACTGGGGCCTAGGGGGGCTGTCAGCCAAAGGCGCTCATCTCTGTCCTGAGCAGGTGCCTCACAGGATGTTCGGCATCATGTCTCCTCAGCCGTTAATGGGGAAAGCTTTACATAACTGCTCCAATCCTTGCAATAGCTTACCTTCCTCTCTAGTTCCAGTTTCCCCACAACACTGGGAGCTTGGCCAAAGTTAGTGCTGGAAACACCTGAAATACTACGAAACTGTCGAGTATTTCCAAACAAAGGGGCTTAAAAGTGCATGGAAGAAATGGAATGGAGATAGTGGAATTATGCCACGAACTTCTTGAAGCTCCCTCACACAGTGCTTTACACTGTTACATGAGTCACAAAACAAGTGAGCGTGCCCTCAAGTCTGATCCCAGCCATGATAGTCGGAAGTGTACACGCAGACACCGATCAGAGAAGTGCCAATCTAACTAAGTGACACTCATCATCTGTCCTGTTGCCAAAACAAAAGGAACACTTACTGGCCCAATTTGTTCTGCCCAAACCAAACAGAATGACCCAAACACTTAGAATCCAATGCTTCTGAAATGTCCATTAGACCTACCCTTTGAAATCCATTTTCAATAAAGCCAACACAACACAATGTCTTTGCCTGTCTAATGCTCTAGGACAAGAATGAAAGGCAGGAATACTAGCAGTACAGAAAACTTCCAGGCTGCCCTACAGAGACCTGCTGGGGTCAAGTTTCAAAAGCTCTTCATTGGCGAGGATTGCATTTCCAGGGTAGTGTTTGAGGGCACCTTAGGGCTTTCTCTCCTCCCACCCTTCCTGACAACTTTGAAAATCCCTGGAGCTTTCTACACATGGTTGTGAACATCTACAGACCTATGACTCAGGAGGAGCCAGGCTGCCCATGAGGGTACTCCCCTAATTTATGACCCTCTCTTAGGATCTTGGAATCTGTAAAGAAGGAGCCACTAAGTCCTTGACTTGACATGTTCCCAGCAACTAGAAAAGAGTGGAGAAAGTGAAATCAACAAGCATCCAGCTGCGTACAAATTCTCTTCACAAAGGCATTCCTTTGTGAAATATTTATGCAGAATTTATAACCCAGGAAGCCAGAATGACTTAATTCAACAGATTCAAACTTTGCCAAACTGCGTGGGTACAGCACTCCAAGGGGAATTACTCAGGTTTTGAAACTCATCTTCAAATAGGAAATGATCATTTTCCCCTGATGTTAATAATCTGAAAAATCACGTCCGAACCGATTCAAGAAAAAGCAAGGCTTAAATTAAACCAATGGAGTCCCAGTATGGCGCTGTGAGCTAATGCGTCAGACTGAAAAGTCGGTGTTTCAAGTTCACCAGCTGCTTCTCTCTGGGTCATAATCAAGGAGCTCTGGTAGCTCTGGTAGTGTCGTGGTTACGAATCGGGCTGTGAATCTCAAAGTCAGCAGTTTGAAACTACCAGCTGTTCCGCGGTAGTTCTGCTCCCGTTAAGATTTACAGCCTCGGAAACCATCTACAGGGTCGCTATGAGTAGGAACCGACTCCACGGCATATGACAACAACAATGGGTCATACATAATCAACCCGGCGGCACTTAACAACAACAACAAACTAAACCAAGGGGTGCCTGGTGGCATTATAGGATGAACACTGGACTGTGAGCCAACAAGGTCTGCAGTTTGAGCCCACCAGCTGCTCCAACGGAGAAAGATGAGGCTTTCTGCTTCCTCAAAGGTTTACAGTCTCGGAAACCCTATACAGGGTGGCTGAGTCGGAACCAACTCAACGGTACTTAACAACAAACGATTCGACTGAATTGTAATACGTAATTGTAGTACGGCCAGAATGCTTCTCAGAAGCGAGGTAGTTGAGACTTTGTTTCTCGTCTCTTGGACATATTATCAGGAGGAACCAGTTCCTGGAGAAGGACATCATGCATGGAAAGTGGAGGGTCAGAGAAAAAGAGGAAGTCCAGCGAAATGGGCTGATGAAGCGGCAGCAGCGAGGGGCTGAAACAACAATTGGGAGGATGGCGCAGGACCAGACAGTGTTTCGTTCGATGGCACCCAACAAAACAACAAATTAGACCAACCATAGAGTCATCGGTTCACTAGAACGCATGAACTATTCTCTGTTCTCAATAAGACCAGACACCTGCTTGTTTTTACAGGCTGAGTCTCAGACGAATACAGATCTCCTATTTCAAAAGACAGGAGTAAACACGTGAGAGAAATCTTCACGTTCAACAAATTTCACATGAGCGTGAAATTGGGCAAATGAGCTTTTCCGCCTTTCACGATCCTTTGTGAAAACCTGTCAGTCTTTATTTGCAAAGTTTTAAACAAGCTGTCAAGTCCACCACAACGACAGATAGGGACAGAAGCACTTCACGGCAAGCCTGTCACCAGGAAGGTGGAATTTGCTAATTCGGACCAGGTGAAAATAAGAATCGAAGCGCTGTTGCAGGCACAGCGATGAACAGAAGGAAAAGGCGGGCACTGTAACTAGGCTGAGTCAAAGCCCGTTGTGGGGAAGAAGGGGCATCTGAGGAAGTGCGCGACGCTGAAGGCAGTGGGCTCGGGAAGCGGTGATTGGCTGGGCCACAACGAAAGGGGCGCTCAGAAGGACAATTTCGGCAGCTATAAATAGCCCAGCCACCAGAGCTGAGCTCCACGATCGACAGGGAAACAAACCGGCACCCAACGGCTCGGTCTCAGGTTTCCGCGGGTCACAAAAGGATAACGGACATCCTCCCAACGGTGGACCTGGGGCTCGCGCGCCGCTTCCGCCGCGCCCCGGTCCCCACCCCGCGTGGCGGCCGGACATTGGCAGGCGCGGCCGCGAAATGCAAGCCCCGTTCCTCGCTCGCCCGTCCGCCCGCCTTTGTTCACCCAGCCTTGCACTCACCCCGCCGCCGCCGCCGCTCACCAGGAGCCACGAGCAAACGCCACCCGACGAGACAAAGGAAGCACAGGCGTTTCCAGTCAAAACAGACTTTTATTGGGGCGGCCGGCTGCCCGCCACACGACCCCGGGCCGCCCCCGGCCCGCCGCTCCGCCCCTCCCACTCTTCTCCGAGGCCCCGTTCCCACCGCGTCCAGGGTCGCGCGGACCGCTCACCGGCTCTGAAGGAAGCTGCTGCCGCGAGTAGGGCCGGCTTCCGAGCACGGCCGCAACCCGAGGCGACAGGTTTTGCGGCGGCTGCACAGCGGAGGGCGGGAGCCGCGCGTCTCCGGACGACGGACGGCGACGACGGCGGCGCGCGCTGACGTCACGCGCCACAGGCCAGCCAGCCAGCGCGCGAGAGGGCCGCCCCGCCCCCCCGTTCTTTCTGTCCCAATCCGGCCGGAACCAAGCCGGATGGGCGGGGCCTCGGCGGCCAACACGGCCGAAGATTGGCGGGGAGGGAGGAGCGAGGGGTCGAGCGAGCCAGTGGGAGCGAGGCGGGGCGGGCCGCGGCCAGCGCGGAAGTCTCGCGAGGCCGGGCCCGAGCGGAGTGTGGCGGCGGCGGCGGCGGCGAGATCTGGGCTCAGGGTGAGGAGTTGGTATTTGTGTGGAAGGAGGCGGAGGAGGAAGGGGGAAGCGGAGCGCCGGCCCGAGGGCGGGAGGAGGCGCGGCCAGGGCGGGCGGCCGAGGCGCGG